ACACAGCAAGAGAGGGAACACAAGCAGGGGGAGTGGGAGAGGGAGAAGCAGGCTTCTCGCCGAGCAGGGAGCCCGATGCGGGGCTCGATCCCAGGACCCTGGGATCATGACCTGAGCTGAAGGCAGACTCTTAACGACTGAGCCACCCTGGTGCCCCTATTTTAGGATCTTTAAATGATGCTTTGCCCCTATGAGACCATGGAAAAACCACTGTAAGTACATCGAAGTGTAGGAACAATTGTGCAGAAAATGCAACTCTTTGCTAATTCAGGCAAACCACTGTTTCTGGGGTCTCTTGCAGGCCAGGAAATACCTGGGTCCCTCCATCCACTCCTGGTCTTCCTGTAAGCATCCCGGCACACAGGCTGTCTGCACCCAGTCTTGGGCTTGGACATGTGACTTTCTTTGGCACCCCTTAAGGGTGAGTCAGTCTTGCTCAAGGCTGCGTTCACAGTGCCTGGCCCAGTCCTAGGCACAAAGAAGAGACTCCCTAGATGGGAACAGATGCATCGTCCCGCAGATATAGGAGCCTGAGTCCAACCCCCTAACCAGAAAAGACAATGGCTTGTTACCAGCTAGAGAAAGAAACCATAGCATGTTTTATTCAGCCATTCAGTACGAATGAGCCCGAACAGATCCTAGCTGGGTAACCTCTTCTATGTCTTTTATTTTTTATTTATTCTTAAAGATTTTTAAAATTTACTTGTCAGACAGAGAGAGCACAGGCAGGTGGAGTGGCAGGCAGAGGGAAAAGCAGACTCCCCGCTGGGCAGGGATCCCGATGCCGGGCTCCATCCCAGGACCCCACGATCACGACCCGAGCTGAAGGCAGACACTTAACCAAGTGAGCCACCCAGGGGTCCCTCTTCTATGCCTTTTAAAATCTTCACCACAGCCCTGCCAGGTAGAGATGATTAACCCCACTGACTTCGTTAGGGGAAAGCTAAACTGCTATGAGAAAGAAATCTCACACTGCAATACCACATTCAAAAGACAGGTCTTTTTCTCTTTCTCGTTACAGTCCAGGGCGGATGTTCCCAGTTGGAAAGTAGCTATGTTCCACATGGATATTCAGGAACCCAGGTTCATTCCATCTTGTGCCTCTACCATTCCCTAGTGTGCCTCTCCTCAGAGGGCTGTTCTACGAGGAGAGAAGGAGCTTGTACCGAAATGTAAATCAATGAACTGCTTCCTTCATTGAGAACATCTTACTATGTCCAGTCAACCCTTGTCAGGGGTTAGGAACACACAGGGTTCGGAACACACGGATTAGGAGCAGTGTCCACTCCACGGCAGTGTTCCCTGAAAAGAAGGCATGAGCAGATGGGCACCTGGTGTCTCATACACCACAACCTTTCTCCCCAGATCCTCAGGTACACATTGTCTTGTGCCTCATATTCCATGCTTTGTGCTTTTCCTTTTAGCTCAGTGATTCCCAGACATTTCATTGCTACGGGCATTTTAAAAATTAATTTCTCCCATAGAACTCAGGTTTTGATGGGCTTTTTATTGCAACACAGACCATATTGCTTAGATCTCCCATTTTCACTCATCAAAGACCTAAGGAACTGTCCATCAGAATTTCTTTTTTTTTTTT